CAGACTTTACTGGCACAGCGAACGTTCCATCGCCCACGACACATTCCGGTCTCGGGAATTGGTCATGCTTCTAGTAATATGCCCATCTTTCGAGACTGCACAGCACACAACATCTTGCACAGAGTCGTGTTGAAACTATGATGGGTATGGCCGGAGGGTCTCCCAGGAGTTTCTTGACGTCCATGCGCACTCTTCGCGAATATCCATCACCAAAGACACCATTGGACACTTGTGTCAAGTTGCTAACATACCATAACTTACATACGGACGTATCGTACAGGATAAATTAGGGGGGCCATGTAGCCTGTACTCCCTGGATGTTTTTTTGGTTCACCGACCGGGGCCAACAGCAATTTGGCTTATCAGTTCAGCGCCATCATCGCTTCTTTGGCCGATATGGGAGAGAGAGGCAGACGGAGAGAGAGAGTCCCAGCAATTCGAGTTTGGGCGAATCATAGCAATCCACGTCGACGGCAGCCACACCATCCATCTACAACGCACTTGGGCCTGCGTCTACGCCTACGCCCACAACTACGCCGCAACTCCAAAGTACCTGTCCCGGGACTCTTGTCCTGATCTGGAAACGCGTTCAGCAATTGAATTCGCAATCTGCTCAGAGACGTAGACAAACCTAGCCAGCCAGCTCAACCGACCGCAAGTCAACGTCGAATGTCCAGGCTCTCTTCCTATTCGACTGCAAATACATTGTTTAGCTTTAGTCAAGATTTTGCAGCTTCGCCCCCATGTATATGGATAGCCGATTTGGCTCTACTACATAACAAGAGGCACCGCCTTTGATCGCAGGCAAACTTTCCCTGGCGACGTGGAGGCTGCCGGCAGCAGATTCCTTGAGGATAGAAGTCCTTATGCAAATCATATTGCCAGGAATATTATCCTCTGCTACTCTCATTCATCAATAAGCATGCATGAGCGGACCGTTTTCCGCCTTACATGAGAAGCACGAGGAGTTCCTCCCGCAGCTGCGAGGAAGGGCCAGGTCAGACGGCGTAGCGTTAGATGAGGTCTGACAGTACCCGTACCGTTCCAATGGGTAGTTCCACGTCGCCGACGATGCTGGTCCAATGGGAACATGGCCGGGGCTGAGGGCTGGAACATACGGTCTGCGCGACATGACATGGGATTGATGCCAGCGATGGTCAGCGATGGTGCCTTTTCAACGACTTGAACGGGCAAATGCTCTCCGCTGTCTGACTGGACCGGCCTGCACTGAGTCGAATTGACATTGTCTTTGCCCGTGCAGCTCTTGTCGTAGAGATGGCATTTTGTAATCAAACACGAGCATCGCACGAGAGTCCAGGCAATAGCAGTTATGACAGCAACCCTCACTTCAGTACAGAAATCCAAAATCAGACTCGGATTACCATGCCAGCACCGGCAAGCACAAACTGGCGCAAGCACAAGTCATGTCTCTACTACTTGAATCAAGACCAAGTGCCGATTGACTCTCATCCCGCTCTCTGCGACTGTTATATCCCCGACACTATGCGTGCCCATCCAGCCAACGTTCAATCACCGAGACAAGTCTGTGTTCGTAACAGGCGACGGACTGTGAGTGTCGGTTGGAGGTACAAGTTGACGTCTTCTCTCGACACTGTGGCGTTGAGGCGGCTCGGTCGAGGTTGGCGGAGGTGACAATGGCTTCACTGATTGGGTTTAGCATCCTCTTCACCGCTACTCTTGTGGCCTCTTTACGGCGACGCCCTCTCCCCGCTCCCCGTCCACGCTTGCTCTGGGGCCTCTGGCTGCTTTTCTTGCCAGGATCTGGGGCATGGTGATAGAGGCACACTCAGCCGGGGGGAGAAGAGGGAGAGTGACTGAGTCTCTCTCCGAGAGTGAGAGAGAGAGTAACCAGGAAGAAAAGAGGAGAGAGACCCAGGCCTGGACCCCCCGGCCCACTAACCTATCATCGCTTGCCTCTCCGCTGCGGTCGAGCCAATAGCCCTATACCCGAAAGAGCTGGCTTGCTGACCCCCCACTGGAGCCACGCTGCGCTGGCAGGGCTACCTTGCCCAGTGTCTTTCCCGCCGCCTGCTGGACGTTGAGGTTTTATGCGCATACCGGTGGTTTTTCACGTGGAGGCAAGTGGCACGATGCAATGGCGAAGAAGACGAAGGAGGAGGAGGGGGAGTGTGCTTGTACCTGTACATGCGCCCAAGATGGCCCACGGCTGTTCCCCTCACTCTGGGCTACTGGCTGCTCTTGAGTCTTGTTTCCATCTCCACCCCTCCCCTTTCTCCTCCCCAGTCTCTTGAGTCTTGAGTCTCCAGTGCGTTTTTCTCTCTGCTCACTTTTGCTTAGGTACTCTTCACCCCTACACTACCTACACGACTTCGTACCTCCATCGCCAGTCAGTCTTCCGATGGGGCCCTCGTTCGTCAGTTTGAACAATTCAAGCCCTCCTCGCAAAAACATCCTGGCAAATCGCGCATCCGCACACCCATGACGAGATCCCGACTGCGCTTCTCGCCGTCTCTCGACGATGGGTGGGACTAATGGCCAACACCAACACCAACACCAACACCACGAGACGTGGGGCGAGCGGACGACAGCGGATTCGATTCCAGCCACGGTCTTTTCTCTCTGGCGTTCGATCTCTTGTCACGACACGACTGGATATCTTTTTTCGTCTCGTCTCGTGTCTTCTTCCGCCCCTTGTTGCGTTACATAGAGTTACCTCCATCGGATCATAGGCCCATCGGTCATCAGTCACTCAGCTCAGCTCAGTCGTCGTGTTGCTGTTATTTTCTGACGAAAGCCGCCGTTGCCTGCTCCTTTCACCATCCAGGCTCGGCTTGGAGAATGAGAAATATGAGACATTTTGACGAAGGAACATCCACATACGGCGAACAGCCCGCTGTTTATGAAGAGCCCCGCATTCTTAACATCTGGACCGTTGAACTTGTCTCGATGATGCTTGGTATGTTGATACCGTTGAAACTTGAGAGGAGGCTCTTTTGACGAGTCCGAGATGGGCCATCAACACTGCGTCTAACTGATGCGAGCCTTGCTTGATGTCGCCCACCCGCAGCGGAGTCCGGTAAGACCACGCGTCTGACCCTGTCCATGATATGCTGGGTAGTTGTGCACCTGGAAAGCATGGGCGGACAGGTATGTACACCACCAGCATCCCCCCCCCCCCCCAAAAAAAAAAAAAGATCCACGATCCGACGACAGAGGTTGAGCACGGCTGTTGTAAGCTGTAGCCTGTCCGTCTGTACTCTCACGATCGGCTATGGCTGGACTTGACGGGACCTTTCCTGGCCCAGGATCATGTCCCGGGTGCTTTTGGCCCCTCCCTCCATCAGACATAGAGGAGCAGCGGTGCCTCACCCCGCCGCCCGCCTTCCGTCCTGTGCATATGTCGGGATAGCTGCGCGCTTCCCGTAGCCTCGCATCTGTGTCGTGGGAGGATCTGATGGGAAATCGACATGTCTTACATTAGTGTCCACGACAGCAGCAGCAGCTCGCGGGAGCCCTGCCCTAGCCTGACCTGCGCTGCTGCGTTGTGCAAAGAGCTGAGCTGGGCGCGTTCATGATACAGTTTACTTGTTTGCTTGGCATCCATCGTTTGTTCTCCCATCTTCATAAATCGGCGCACCGGGGAACGGAGGCATTTCCAACGACGGCTCCTGTACGGAGAAAACAGCGTGCATCAGGTTATGTGTGCAACGGTCGTACAAACCTACTAGTTGAAGAGGCAAAGACTACATCTACATCATTCCACCAGCACACTTGAGACAGGCCGAAGCCGGTATCTGCATCGACACACATCCAGATCTACACTGTAGGTGTCTAGATGAAGGACGGCGGCCCATCTTGGATGCTGTCGGGAATATCTCCCTCTCACCCGCGACCCGCGACCCCCGGGACACGCATACACATACAGATACACATATCCGTCCATACTACTCTGTACACACACTTCTTCGCATCTCCTTCCGATCTCTCCTCCCGGTCAAGCCCAAACCCACTCGATCAAGCAAGCGTCCGGCGCCGCCGCAGCAGCAGCAGCAGCCGATTGCTCCTCGTCGCGGGTGGATTGACGGCGATAAAAGTCCGGGCTCTGTGCGGTCGCCAAAACTGGCCGCCAGGTGCGCACATCCTTTCCTTGAACTTCCTCAACCTTGCCATTGCTTGTACCCCCAATAGGTTGGCGTGAGATTTTTCTCTCGTTCGGCCGCTAATACTCTGTACATACTGGATACACAGACAAAAAGTGACGAAGGAGGAGGAGAAGGGAGCGGGCGGCGATGGGCGGAAGACCTCGCCTGTCAAGCCCGCGTTACATTCGCAACCCCCCCCCCCCATTTCCACTTTATTTCTGCTCCCCCTCCCTTTTTTCTCACGCCCTCGCTCAAATTTCCTGCCCCCAACATCTGGGAAATCTTGCCCGTTTGCCTGCCTTGCCTGCCTGGCTTACCTAGCACCTTGGTGTCATACCATGTGCGGCTAGAAGAGAGGGCTGGGGACTGGGGGGTAGGAGTGGTTGTGGATGGGACCCGCGTCCCCCCCCCCCTTGCGCGCGTGCGTGGGAGCAGCAGCGCCAGCGTCCGTGGGCAAAGATGCGCCGTCGCCGCCGCCGCGTCTCGGGTGGTAACATGTCAGATTTACAAGCGCTAGGTATCCCGTAGCTTGTTGCTTGCAAGAGGAAGTACACTCTACACTACATGGCGGGTGGGGGAAGGGAGGGGGTGAAGAGAGGAAAACGGGAACAAGAAGGAAAGAAACAGAAAAATCACAAGAGATTACCGTACGTGCAGGGAGATGCCGCAGTATGACAGAATAGCGCGTCTGCAATCCTCGTCGAAGCGGAGAGAGTATGTAAACTAGGAAAAAAGTTCTGGAGTTCTCCCGTCTTGGGGCCTCTGGGAGCTAGTCTACGGATAGTCTAGTTTCTAGACAAGAGCTGAACTTCTGAAGAGGCTGTAAAAACAAGCACAGAGATGTCCAAAGGTTGAAGGCGGCGTTGTCACTTGTTGATGAAGCCTTTTTTGCCACCACCATCACCTACCTACCTTGGTCCTTGCGATACGAACGATGCAACCGTATTCTCGACTATCCATCGACTCCTCCAGGCTCCTGCTGGGAAAAAGGTCTCAGAGTCGTTGAGCAAGCAGGTGGCCGAAGGAAGAAACATGGGCATTGCATACGGGAAAAGAAAGGAGAAAGGGCAACGTACTGTGTAGACGCGCCCCCCGGATTTAGACTGATCACAACAGCGGCGGCAGCAAAGTTTCTTGCGTGGCATACGGATACTGGCACGACTGGCAAGAAAGACTGGGTGGTGGTTTCCAGCCCATCTGCCCTCCGGATGCAAGTATGCTTCGCATAATGTGTGTCCCGTCGCCTGCTGTTGGCTCCGTTGGTGACAATCCAGCAGCAGCATGTATCTATCTGTAAGGCAAAGCAATGCAACGGCCCTTGCCTTGGAATACCACGTACGGAGACAGTGACAGACAGCGAGGAAGACAGACAGAGGACGACGTTACGAAATGTCTCTTTTTTTTTCTGCCCTTTCTTCCACATGTCCAAGTCTCTCTCTTGTCTCGTCTTCAACGTCGTCCCGTCCATTGTTGAGGAACAATCCCCTTGTTGCATAACTTTTTCGGCTTTGTTTCTCGAACTTCTTGTTCTTCCCTCCCTTTCCTCCGTGCCGCCCCCCCCCCCCCCCGGCCCTTTCTCCCTGCCCTTTGCCCGCCTCTGGTTTCCTTGTCCACAAAGATTGACTTTGTTCCAACAGAGATTTTTCTGCCCATCGGGGACCACATGGAACGGCTATACTCTACCGGTTTGGGTCATTCGATCGGCTCGCCGCTCTCGAGAAAGAATGAAAAAACTAAACTCAACTAAAAACACAATGATAACCTCGGCGTAGTTAGACTTCTGACAGCCGCCCTCCTTCCCTTGTTTGCGTTGTGTGCCGCGCACGTCTTTTTGGGAGTGAGAGAAACGGGAGGGTCCCCCCGGTACCCGAGTACGTATCCGTAGACCGTAGAGAAGCGGTAGACGGGCGCCAGTCTAAGACCAAGCAAGCCTCTTCCCAGCCATCCATCCACTCTGGCACCTCACTCTCCGCCATCAGTGCGTCTTTTTTGTGCCTCTCTCTCTCTCTCCGTGTGTGTCGACGTCTATCTCTTTGCCGGGACGGGAGGGTGTGAGGTATAATGTTCTGGCGCGCGCCGTCCTTCCCTCTCCCCTACCACTCAACCTCTCTCTATCTTGATTTAGCTCCCGAGACGAGACACACAACCTCTCTGTCTGGGACACGACCGGTGTGAGCCAGGAAGGTGGCAGAATCATACAATAACAATGACAGCACCAAATCCAATTATTGGTGATGTCGGGATCGGTTCTAGCCGGCCTCTTTTTTTCTCCCTCTTTTTTCTTCGAGGATACCCACTTTTTCGTCGAGATTCGGGAAGAGGAGAGAGGAGACAATCCTTCCCCCGCTCGCTCGTCGCGTCCGCTTGTCACGACCCGGGTCGGCCGCGCGAGGCGAAGCGAAGGCGGATAGGATTTGCCAGGTAGATGTAAACAGACCAGTCTCGACTTGGCCAGGCCAGGAAGGTAGGTAGGTCTTCCGAAGGTCTTGATTTGCAGGGCAAGCAAGGCAAGGCAAGGTAGAGCAAGCAAAACACCACAGCAGGCTCTCCCTCACCCTCACCCTCCCCCTCCCACCCCCGGAAAGCGAAAGGGTACGATTGCCTGCATGCGCGTACGGGTATGCATGCTGCTCAGACATGGGGTGGCGGCGGCGAGATCACGGATCACAGAGGAGCCCTGGAAACTCTCGCTCGTTCTTCCAAGCGGCCTAGAAGTGCACTACGGACTACGGATTCTGTATCCGTACGGAGTGTTGCGAACCTCGTCCTCGCTCACGGAGGATGCCCCCTCAGGAAACAGAGCAGGTGTCGTGAAATGGCTCTTGCGCACCTGGGCCGCAGCAAGCAGGCGCATGCTGGGCAGATCATGTAACTGTCAGGGACGGGGTCAAGCGAGCGTGACGTGGACCTTTGACCTTTTTGCGCGCTCGAGCTGATGTCCTCTGTGCCTCTCTCTCTCGCCAGACTTCGTGTCTCCTTGCCGTCCACTTGTGAGTGGCGCTGTCATGTTGGACCTTGGACACCGGATGAATCGTCAAGTCGGGATAGAACTTGAACGCTTGAAACGGTTCGCCCCCTCCTTCACGACCCCTGTGCTCGTCCCTGACGTCCCTGATTGATATCACATGAGAGACGGGCTGGGAAAGGGAGCTTGGGGCTCGGCGGTGCGAGATTGACTTTTTTTATTACCTCGCTACGCAGACTGTCTTGCTTCCTCGTGGGTACCCCGGCACCAGTGGCCTCCCTGCAATGGTTGGTATGACCAGGCTGTCTCGTCTCGTTGTGTCGTGACTTGTCTTGTCTTGCCTTTATTCCGACATGACGAGGTCGACCGTTGAAGTAGTCGGTTGCCCGAGGTATGATTACGTATTAGAAAGAGAGCGGTGCATCATCGCGCAGCGAAGCGTTGAAGAATGCAGCACGTATAGCGTGCGCAGAATATGCAAGCCTCGGCATCCGTCTTTGCGACTCCAGCTTTCTTTTCCCGGGGGACATTTGCGACTTGTCGTCGTCGTCTTGTCATTTCTGAGAGTTTTCACTAAATGGCATGTTGGTGGTTTGATGCAGGAGAGACGGCAGGCCAGGCCAGGCCGCCATGGCAGGGCCCGGCGCATCGCATCGATGCTCCCTCACCTCGCTCCAGCCCTGTCCCGCCCGCCCAAAACTAGCCGCGAAACACGGCGGCGGGAAGAGAGGAGGCTCGGAAAGTAGGTTGTGAGGTAAGGTAGCGGTATCCGCAGTGCTGTGCGCAGCGGTGCAGCGGGCATCGTGCATGAACTGCTGGTACGGCATGATAAGATGGGTGTGTTATACATGTGACGGAGCACCGCCTGGCTTCTCTTTTTTTCGCCTTTCCAAGGGTTGACCTGGACAACATCGGGAGAGGGCGAGGAGAGAGAAGGTTAGCGGGCCTGGAAGCTGCATTCTCTTGGTGTCGATTGGCAAATGCAGGCGCATGTGCGTGCAGTGGCCTCATGGGAGAGGCATATATGGCAGACATGGGAGTCCCCGAAGCTGGAGAGTGTGCCATGCCAGGTCCGGGGCGCATGAGACGGCCCTTTCGTTTGGTGTTTCCCGCCTCCCGCCGCGCGGCAGGTTTGGCGATGCAAGTCAATTCGAGACCCGAAGCTAGGTGCACCTTTCTTCGAGGGAGCTTGGATAACAAGCTTTTCTCTCTCGCCTTCTCGTTTCTTGTCACCTCTCTGGCTCCTCCGCCGGATGTGGGAGTATGGGGGGAGCTACGGCGCGAATATGAAGCAGCCAACATCGGCTGTGCAAGCTTTCTCTCCCTTTTAAGGTGCAACCTTCGACCGATGACTGGGCGTGATGTGCATGACTGGCGTCTGTGGGGGATGCGCTGCCACTGCGATCAATGTCCTAGGCCGATTGGATGGCTTTAATTTTCGCCGCACCAAGGGCCCCCGGTGATATGGTTTGGCGATCCAAAGGGTCGAAGTCTGATGTCGTCTTCTTTGGGCGTATGTACCCAATACGTCTGCGGAATCTTCAATATCATTTCCACAATAAGATAGAAATAGCCTTCTGTTGAACCGGATATTGAAGGGGGTGTGAAGTGAGCGGCATCCGAGTCAGAGACTTCGTCGACGAGTAGATAACGGCGACATCATATTCGTAGTTGTACGCAAGGACAAAAAGGTCCAAAACTGATTTTCGCACTCGCATCTGCCGAGCCCAGACTCCAATATGGTCCCTGACTGAGCGTTCCGAAAGCCGTCAGACAGAGGCGCCGAGGAGTGATTGGGCCTCTGCAGCCCATCATTCCAACATCGTGCAAGGTATGACCTTCTTCACAGCCTCCTTTCCACTCAGACCGTCCCGATTTCAGCTCCGTGGGCTCGTGGGTAACCTCGTGGGCGAAGGAAACATGTCGCTTGTTTTGGGGGAGGGTGAAGAGCAAAGAGGGTGTGTCCAGGTGTGTCTGATCCGGTGTTTAGGCCTGATGTCGGTACCTGCAGGAGATGGAGAGGTTGAAGGTGAGGTGAAAGGTCCCCTGAGGTTCGAAGCGTTCGGTCTTTCTTGCAACAAGAAGGTTCCAAGGGGACTCTGACGTGCACATGCATTCTTCCTGGGATTTGAGGAATGACGGGATTCAAGCTGGGGAAACATCGGTGCGCCGACGCTGCTGCAGCTCCTGCATTTGCCAATATGGCTGGCGGAGCAGCTGGCATTGACATCTCTCGGTCCAGGAACGGCACCTGAGTTAGCTTCGCCTTACTCGGGAAGCTTTGACTGCATGTCTCTGTCTCTACACCTTCCCGTCATGTAGCTTCGATGAGATGTGATTTGAGTTTAGGTGTAAGTGAGAGATGACTAACATGAAAACCTCAGAGGTGACCAAGGTGGGTGTCGGTGGCTCTCGGTGAGACAAAGATCATGTGACCCCGCGACCGGTACGTGCCTGGATCGACCTTGGATGTAAATGCGCTTGGAACTCTCTAGCCTGCGGCGCCGCGTGATTCGCGTATCGTTGACGACAGAAAATAACCCCTTTGTTTGCTTATGGAGACACTAGAGGCAAAATCCAGCATTATGACCCTACGTTTCTGTTGTGTGGATCTGAACGACATTGCATGCTCAACGCGCATGTGCCTCGCATTGCAGCGCCGTTTGGCACATCTATCATGCTAGCAAAGCAAGAAGGGCAGAAGAGAAAAGAAAAAGAAACACTGTTGCTCCAAAATAATCACGTGTGTCAGAACCGAAATGCCTTCGCCGGAGAAGACACCTATCCCACCAGCCGCAAAGCCGCGGTTCGGCAACAACTTCGATCCGTACAACTCAAGCGCCACCGGACATCAACGCCCGGATCACGTCCCGGGCACAGGATGGCGAACCAGCCGCGCCCGCAAGCTCTCGGAGCAGTTTGCGGGCGGTCACACTGGCGGTGCCCGCATGAGTGACACGTACGGCGCTGGCAGCGAGGACTTTGACGAGAAGCTGAAGATGGTGGTACCCAAGGACGTCAAGGCGAGAGCAAAAATGAGCGTGGCGGACATGCTGGCGCGGCCGGGGCTGATGAGGAGCGGCTCTTCAATCTCTGAGACCGGCTCCGTGACATCTAG